GTTTATTATAACGACTTGTTGCACCTTTAGCTTCTCGAATTGAACATGATGAATCAACTGTTCGATGCATAGAAGGATGACGATTATGATGTTGTAATGCTGCTGATAATGGACGACCAGCAAATAATGTTTGAGAATATGATGATATTTCAGATGCTAAATTTGAATGTTGTTGTTGTTTAGGAATACATGAAGCTGAATTAGATCGATTGATTATAGATGATTTTTTTTTAGATTTTTTCTGTGGTGATGATGATGATGATGTTGGTAATACTTTTGGAGTACTAAGACGAGATGGTGCACCAACAGCATTAACTGATGATTGATTACGTGTAACAATAGCTGTTTTAGGACGTTGTAATTTATTTTTCACACATGAAGATTCTTGTAAAATAGAAACAGCTGGTTCAATATAATCTATAGTTGAATTTGATGTTTGTTGATCGATTGTTTTCAATTTTGTTTCGTCATTAGATATTAAAATATCTTCACTTGATGATTTTGGTTTTTTTGATAAATGTTGTTGTATAAATAATTGCATTCGTGGACTTGTTCGAGTTGTATTATTATCTTCATTATCATCAAATGTTATTTTACGTTCGACACCTATTGGTGATGATTGTAATTCATTAACTAAAGCTTCTGTACTACAATAATGTGTACTACTAGGTATAATAGATTCTGTTTTATTGATATCATGATTTTTTTGTGATATTTCTTGTTTTTTATGTCGTATACGTCGACGATGATGAGTTTGTTTACTTTCATTACAAAATCCAGCTAAACGTGTTGAATAACTTGAATCATTTTCATTAAAAATTATTTTAAGTAAACCAAATGAAATTGTAGAAGGACGTATATCATTTTTAGTTGTTGATGAATTATGAGATGTTGTTCGAGTCTTTTTTTTTGATGTTGTTGTGGCAGTGGTTAGAGTATGATTATCATCAGGTTTCTGTGGAGCTTCATAGATGGAAAGAGGACGAGGTATAACAAAAAATTCATCCCAATCACGATGAGTGATTTGATTAGCACATTCAATATGTCCATACTTAAGTGCAAGAACAGCTGCTGAACAACCTACTTAACAACAAAAATGACCAATAATTATGATTAACAGAAAATGTCAATCTTACCATCTCGGTTGACATACTGATCAAGATGAATATCCATTTTTTCTGCTGATTTTATAAGTAATTCAGCAATTTCACAATTACCTGATATAATATAGGAATAAAAAGATACATTCAAAAAAATAAAACGACTATTCTTATGATCAATTACCTGTAATAGCAACATAATGTAGACAAGTATTTCCTTCACAATCTCTAGCATCGAGATTAAAATCTAAACAAGATAAATAGAGTTGAACAAGATGTATGCGTTGTAGAGCACAAGCATGATGTAATCTAACAACAAAAATATAAAATGAATAATCAATATTTTATTTTTCTGGAAAAAAAAAAACAAAATCATCTTACGCATTTCGTCTTGCATGATCTTCTAATGCAATTTTAGCTCCTTTTTCAAGTAGATTTTGAGCAAGTGATAAACTCCATCGATCATTTTCGATATAAGCACATAATATTAATGGTGTACGTAATTGACTATCACGTTCATTTGGATCATAACAAAGTTGTAATAAATATCGAATACATCGAAAATAACCATGTTGAATAGCAAATGGTACATTAAAATGTTTTGGTAATAATGTTGGTGGTATTAATGATGATCTATGTGTTTGTTGACTACGATCAGTATTACTATCAGAATGAGACATCGATGATAATGGCACCGGTGGAGATTGAGATGATATAAGCATTGATAAAATAAAGGTCATAGAATTGAACAATGGTGTAAATAGTTATGGTAACTTAGCAGCATTCAAAAAGTCAATTAAAGGAAAGAGAGAAAAAAAAATTGAACGGTAGTATGCCAATTAGCAACGACTGATGTGTAGACTGAAATGAAACGACAACAAACTTCTTTTTTTCACTCTTGCTTTGCTCACTTCGCTTTTTATGCTATAAAGGAAAAAAATTAAATGTACATGTTGAAGAAAGAACACATACATACAAATAAAAAAAGAAGAAAAAAAGTGAATAGATGTGCTGTTTCTTTTTTTCATAAATAATTTATGTATATAAATATTCAATTTTGATTGTTCTGAAATATTTTGATAAGACTTGACTATAAGAATGACAGATCATAACATTCATCTCATCTTTATTATCGTTTATTTTTATATAACTTCAACTTGTTTGTCCAATATTGTGCTTCATTCTTGATTGAAGAAAACTATATTTAACGTTTTTCTTTTTGTTCTGTCTAATAAAACATACTCAAATAGTACATACATTTCGATTCATAAATCAATAGAAAAAAGAAAAAAAAAATGAAGAAAAAGCATAAACAGACTATTTGAATAATAACTGATAGTTATTCTTAAAAAAAAAAAAAGAAACTTCAAGTAGAGCCACTTTAATAAATAGAAATATTTAATTTAAACATTTAAAGAAATTTTTTTTTTTTTCTTTCATCTTCATACGATATTAATACATTAAAAGATAAACATTAACGTAAAATTGATCCATAAAGAATCTTAACTTAAAAAAACATATTGTGAAATATGAATTTAAATATTGATTATTGATTTATTTAGTATTGTAACAAATATGAGAATTTTTCTCTTTATTTTGCATGGCATATTTAAACGAAATAGACATACAATAAGTAGTCATGTCTGATTCTGTTAATAAAGAAGAAAAATTTTTGTTTACGATGATAATATAATAAAAGAAAATGGAATTAAAATAAGCAAACAAAAAACAGCGACGCCATATAATTGTCATATTTTTTTTTTCAATGGCGTATTGTAATTTCTTTTTACTTTTTATCAATCAATTTTAGAGATAATCATTTTTCAATGTTTGATCTGAAAAAAAAAGAACTTCTTTTTTTTCTCAATTTTGTTTATCTTAGCTACCAATGACAAAACACAAGCAATGCAGCTGTTGCAGATATGAAACATAGTTTAAAATGACTTTTTAAAGTGCAATCTATATTTTTAGTTTTTCTATATGTAGATAAAAATGTCTTTTATCTCCTAGTACTCATTCAATAGAGTTCGTGTTGAGTCAATCGCGGGAATAACTTATATAGGTGCTAATTATAACACTAGTATAGTTAGATTTGGATAAAATCATTTTACTGTTGAGATGTAGAATAGGTCAAAAATGAGCCATTCATCTTGAATGATATAAAAATTGAATTTATTATTAATTTCATTTTTTTTTCATGGCTTTTCATAATTATATTGTTATTTTATCTGTATAAAGCTGAAAATCTGCGTATCATGGAATATGTTTTGAAAAATGATTCATTTCACGAGATGATAGATATCTGCGAAGATTGAAATCAAATCTTTCATTTTCAAAATTGTTAGTATTTATTTTCTTTTTATAATATGAAATCATTGATTCTAATTCTATCATTAAAGTTTTATCCAAAAGATACAGGTTTCTATTTTCTATCAATAAAAAATTATTCAAAACCGACTGTAGAATGTTTTTCGACTGGCTATGAGTTCTAATAAACTTTTTTAGCATAAAGATCGTGCTTGTTTATATCGAAAATAAAATAACTCTAGAAAAACTATTTTTCATATTACTCAATACGAATGGATGTTTTTTTGTAAAAACACCATGTTCCAACTCATATATAGAGTGGTCCATAAGTCACCGGGTAGTCGTTCATTTCGGATAACTTTTGATAGGAACAAGATATGGACCTGCAAGTTTTACCATTCGAAAGAGTGATGTTCGGACTATCGATCTATATAATATTTACTAAGACGAGAGATGCTTTTTCATAGAAGCTTTTCAATTGACATCCTTTTTTTTTTCTGTATGTTTTCATAAATTTCCGCAACAATCTCGTCTCAAATTACGCAAAAATATAGCTTAAATCACTCATTTTTCGTTATAAAATGATCACTTGTTTTTTCGAAGATTCACTTGAAAAAGGATATCGACGAAATAATGTATAAAATGATAACTTTATAACGAAAAATTGGTGATTTAAGCTACATTTTCTTCGTAATTTGAGACGAGGTTATTGCGGAAATTTATGATAATATACAGAAAAAAAGGACGTCAACTGAACAGCTTCTATGAAAAAGCATCTCTCATCTTAGTGAATATTATATAGATCGATAGTCCGAACATCACTCTTTCGAATGGTGAAAACCACAGATCCATATCTTGTTCCTATCAAAAGTTATCCGAAATAAAAGACTACCCGGCATCTTATGAACCATCCTGTATATTAGCCAAGGAATGAAGAAACGAAGTTTTTTTTTTCGCCTTTGTGCCTTATTGAAGACTCAAACAATGTTCAAAAACTGTCTCGATCCGATGCTTTACATAGTTATAATGAATGAATCATAAGTGACTCGATACGAAGTAAAGGGTTAAATGTGTTGATACATATTATAAAATCCTATGTATTTGAAAATCTTTATAAATCAATCGAAGTGATTATTAACTCAACATTATTCATCTTTTGGAGTATAAAAACAGTGAATATTACTACATTATCATATTCTTGAATATTTTACAAGAACTATTTCAAAGATTTGATAATTTCGTTTTTTTTTTTCTATAAGAAAGTTTTTTGTTTTTGACAAACAAAATGATTATAATATGTGTGCCTCTGATGTTGAATATTTTATTATTAATGAATAGATAAACGACAAAAAAAAAAAAGAAAAGAAAAGTAATATAGCAAACACACAAGTAAAATCTACCATGCGTCACACATACATATGAAGAGCAAATAAAAAAGAAAAAAAAAAAGAATAAAAGTTCATTTCATTGTTATAGAATTCAAAAAGTTAAAGTGCAAATAAGAGAGCCAAAAAAAAAAAAGAAAAAGAGATAGAGCAGCATAACATATATGTCCAATTGACACACATGGAAAAAAATAGTCTCTTTATGTTTTTAAAGTTTCTTTACTTGGGCAAAAAATGCTGATGGCCCACGAGCTGTTTGTTTAAATAAATTTGCGTGACATACAGCACATCGACTAATATATTGTCGTTGTGTACCAGCTTTTAATGTACGTAATTTTGGTTTTTCAAAACCAGTATAATCATCTAATGTAGCTAAATAAAATGTCATCATATTTGGATAATAATTGCAATGTGAATGATCTTTGCAATGAAAATATGGTCGATCATGATATTTTTCAAGACATGAACCAGGTGATTGTAAACTTTGTTGATCACCACGACCACCATCAGCTGATGTAAATACAAAACTATAACCAGTCCATAAAAGATCATATCCATCGGGACACGCTGGTACACGTTGTGATTGACTATGAATTGCAAATACAGGTGTTGATGATTCACAAACAGCACAACGACTTAAATGACTTGGTATATCACGTGTTTCAAATGGTGACATACTTGCTGACATTGGTTCATTTGTTGATAACCAATATGAATAATCATTACGTGATGCATAATGACATGAATTACCAATATCACAAAATAAGAATGGCATTGCACTAAAACGACGTAAACAACTACCCGATGAACCTATTTAGAAAAAAAAAGTTTTTTTTAAATAAAAATTTGAAGTTATCTATAGAGATTTTACCAAGATCTTGATGAGCTGCATATGTATCACCTTGAATACCCATAAATGAATAACCACCATCTTGTAATCGAGTTGTTCCATGTGGACATTGTGGAGTTGTAGTATCTTGGCTATGTCTAGAAACAGTAATCGACGTTAATTAGTTAAATTAATTTCATATTTGATTATTACATACCGTGCAAATATAAATGAACCTTCACCCATATCACCTGGATAACCTGTATGTCCTGGACCACCTGTTTACAAGAAAAAACAAACAAAACAATAAATTAATATCTGTTATTTTGTTTAAGAGAGTTCTCTCTCTCTCTCTCTCTCTCTCTCAGAACAAAAAAGTCAATTTTATCAATTTTCTGATTTAATTGATCAAATTATCTACTCTCAAATGCACTATAGTTTCTTAAATTTATCATGATATTTAAGGATATTATATAGATTTTTCTGAACTTTCATACAAACGAAAATAATGTTTGTTCTAAAAACTTTGATTTATAAAATTTTTTAAGTAGGAACAGGAGAGTTACTTCCAAGTTTAGGTGCTGGCTTGCATTTTCCCTTCATTCATACTCACACACTCGCGGCTAGAAATCTGCCGCTGTTGCGACTCCGTCCTATAAAGGACAAGACTACCGTGACGCGGTGAACTATATAAAAAGTTGCCGCTGCAACGATGATCTTCGAAAAAGCTTTCTCTGCCACTGTGTCAAATTAGCACAGTTGGATTGAATCTATCTCGATTCTGACTGTTGGACTGGTAGACACTCAAATTGAATGCAAATTTATCAAATTTTACAATCTCAATATAAAAGAAGCTGCTACTGGCGCACCGCTACTATGGACACTTCTCTAATAGACTATGAATCATTGTTTACTTGTTTGTTATTAATAATCATGATGAGTACAATATATTTTGAAATGTTTGAGATAATTTGAAAATACTACTTTTACATGATATATGCCTATCGAGTCCAATATTTTCAGATCCAATCCGACAAGCCCTCATCTCAATGTACGTTTTTTAATTTTGACACTTCACCATTGTAAACGTTAGAAAGCTGGGCTTGGTATCAAAATGAAGGCAAAAATTAGCTCATTCTCTTTAGTTGTAGCATCATCTCTTCGCTACATTTTAAAACTAATCCAAAATTTAAGACACACAGATATCTATATTTTGATCTATAACCTTAAGCTAACTCTTCGTAGACTTAATTTATTGAGTTGAAGTTTTTACAGTGAGGTATCTAGCTTGAAATACATCTTCACTGAAAATTTCATCAAGACCGGATACTCAACAAAAAATAATTTTTTTTTTGTTTTGACAAGAGATTCTTCATTTATTTAAAACGTACCTGGTGCACCCGGTGAACCATGTAAACCAGCTCTAAATAAAATGAAATTCACATAAATAATAAAAAAAAATATTACAACTTACGATCCAGGATAACCACTATCACCAACTGGACCACGAGCACCTAACGAACCTGGACTGCCTATAAGAAAACAAGTAAAACAGTCATTCATTGCATTTCTTTGTTTTGTTTTGTTGTTTTTGAATTTATCATTTACCTGGACGTCCTGGAAGACCAACTTGACCTGAAAGGCCTTTCGCTCCAGGAAAACCTGCTTGACCTGGTAATCC